CGACTTTGGTTTGTTTCAAATATGAAAGGCATTCCCCTTATCTGCCAACAAACCATATATATACAACTCGAGTTTAACAAAGGAACTAGAGGCGTGCAATTATTATTATTATGTTATGTTCATAAGAAGAGTATCGAGGATTAAACCTCAACTAGACAATCAGATTTGAGGATCAAACTCTGTCCAGGATCTACTTCCTTCTCGTTTACTGAAATTGAATACTTCCCCAGATTCTTCATATGAAACGAACCATCATCACTCAGCCGTATGATCGCCTGCATTCAATAGCCAGAAGCAGAAAAGAATAACAAGATGGTTAAAGATCATGCGTTGCTCCTTCTCAAAACACCTAATATACATATAGAATAGAAGCATCGACTATTGACCAACCTGTCGTCGAGATATTTTGCTACCCCGTTTTTCTCTTCCCAAATCAATGTCCACTGCGAGGTCTTCTGTTGATCTACCCACCAAAACCTGTGCCAGGGAAAAACAACCCCGATGTAAACAAGTGCTACTATGATTCTAACGAAGCTTCTTCAATCATAGAAAAGAACACCTAAACGAATAAGATAATAATACCTCAGGCTTCTTGATGTAGTGTTTTGAATATCTACCATATAAAACGGCGAATGCACCACGGGAAGCAATGGCTCTTTGCATATATGAATAAGCAGCCTGCTCAAGTCTTATAATTGTTCTTTTCATGTCCTGGCTCTGATACTTGGAAACTGAAAGTGAAAACAATTTACGGAATCACAGACAAGCCTAAAACCTTTTTATAACATCTCTCGCACTACCCATGAAAAAGTTCCCTACATCTACAACATATCCCCCAGTATTCATGGCTTCTAATGAATCATGTGAGCCAATTGCTGAAATACATTCCTGTTTCACATACTAGAAGCTTTCTTTTTCCAGAAATAAAGACAGATAAAAAAAGGAAACATGAGTTTTACTGATCGTGAAGGAATGCTCAATTACCTTCAAGATCAAAATTATCTTGGTCATCAGGGTCCAAGTCCATGTCAAGTATCTGTAATCAAAAGGGTTTTATCGTTTAGCTGTTAATGTGTCATGGAACCATAGCATCAAAAAATAAAGATAAAGAGTTACCATAGCCTCAATGTCAGAGTAATTCGGTAAGTCTTCATCACTCTCACAAACAGGAATGTCTGCTTCTACTGGATTGATCTCCAGCTCAGGGTCTGGAACCTCTATCAAGCCTTCATCAGTATCTTTAGGATGTGAGGCTTCATTACTAGGAAGTACATCTTTTTTCTCTTTACAGTTTTCACTATCCTTTTCGGGACAGTTCCCATTACCCTCAGATCCGACAAAGAGTGTTGCACCAGCAATTTCTTTCTTTCCATCTTTTGCACCGGTACCAGCAGAAAGCAGAGTATTAGAGCATGCCTGTGCAGAACCTACACAGGTAGAACCACCAGGAGCTACAGTATTCTGTAACTCAGTACTAGTCGACGTCCTGATTTTGCTACCTTGGCTTGGTTGGCCCTTCTCTGGCTTTCCTTGAGTAGACCCCTGTGAACGTCCTGGGGTTTTCTTTTGAGTCTGGAGTGAATATCCTTCACTTCTTTCTTTACTAGCGGAAATGTCTCTAACACATGTAGTTATCGGATTGTTGGTTTCTTTAAAGTTCCGCCGGGCTAACGAAGAAACTGACATTGGATGGGAGTTGTTGGATACGAAAATGTCATCATTACACGGAATATCAGGATCCTCTAGGTTTAATAAACAGCAGATTACACCCTCAACAATCTCCGGATGAGGATCTAACGCAGATGAGTCAGAAACACTTTTACACTCCACTAAGCTCATTTCACTTGTACCATCTAGCTCAAGCATCACATGATCATCCAGAGTTGCACCTCCTGGATTGGTTGGAGCGGTCAAAGGTTCTTGCTCGGTGGAGTTAGGCAAAGCCTCGGGATTTGTATCATTTGTCGAGTCCAATAGTGAGCTAAGACCATCATAATATGACTTGTCAACTTCTTTGCCATCTACTTCCATGAACGATTCAGGGTCTTCTTCGAAAAGAGAAGTTGAAAGCTGTGCCAGGAAATCAGTGCTAGCCATTGTGGTTTTCGCCTCATGAGCCATATTCTCTAGTTTCTGCTTGGAATCTTGATAAACCGCATCACATCCTGAAGGAACTACGTGTTCAGTGAATGCTAGATTTTCTCCTCCTACGTAAGGAATGTCTCCCTGTAAATTATCTTCCGACACAACATGAGTTACGCAACCGCCTTCAGCCAAGATTTCTGGAAATGCATTGTGGATGATATCCATGTGAGAGTCCTCAAGACCAAGATGTGTTCCATCACCATTATCCATGAAATGGCTATCATTTGGTGGAACGAGAAAACCTAGATCCAAGGAATTGAATGGCTCAGTGCGAAATTTCTTCCGTAAGGAATGATAAGTACGTCTGAGCCTTTCAGCATTTCTCTTCCTGGATGAATTTTTGTTTTCTTTTGAATACCCGGTTCTACCGAACTTTGTAGGAAAATTAGGGTTCGTACGTTCAAGCTCAGTCATCCGAAAAGCCGCATCTGCAGAAACTACTGGATCATAAAGCAGTGCATGCCATCGATCTTGCAGTTCTCTGATAGAAAATCTTCTAGAAAACTGCACAGCACCTTTAGCAAGCGATTCCAAAGAAGCACCGGCCTGCAAATAAATTAAGGATTCCAGTTCACTTAACTGCTAGAATACCAGACAAACTCAAGGAAGAAACACACAATACATCCAGAAGCACTAGTTTAGTAGAGCTAGATAGCTTCAGATATAGAATGCTCTATGAGAGAAGTAAGGAACATAGTTATTTGTTGTTGATGAGCCATCTAATGCCTTCTCTGAAAAATATATATTTCCACCAATTTTATGTTCTCTTCACAACTGAATAGAAAAACTAAATTCATGAATAATATTTGATAGTCCTGTTTCTGGTGGAGAGATGCATGATACATACAACAAGAACATTACGGTGATCACTGAACTACATAAAACGCGTGCGAGGAACACAAATTCAGACAAAATCTGCCCAACCCTTCACTGAGATCATATCCATGGCTCAATCCAACATCGAGACAGAAATGTGAAAAAAAAACTAAATGAAATGGGAACTCACCTCGATGGCATTCTTAAGCAGCAGATCGTCTTCGGGTATCCACGGAACTACCTGAGCAAGAGCCCCCATGTCCACAGCCCAACCAAACCTTCTCGTCTCTTAGGAAAGCTTCATGTAAGAGTGGTCTAAGAGATGGTGACAATACACAAAACCTAATTAAAAGAAATCAAAATCAGTGGACGAAAAGGGAATTAATAGAGACTAGACATTGAAATGGAGTTATGGCAGAATATTGCAAATCAAGACCGCAGCATCCAACCACATTATCGGAATTGATTCAACGTTGGTTTTATCTAGGGTGAAGGAACGACACTAACTAAGACAGAAGCTATCGTTTGGTCTAACATCCACACCATGCACTTAATGAGCTTATTGGACTCCTCTTCCTCACCTTAACGCTAATCTAGTGATCTAAAGCATTATTGGTTTCGTTTTGCAACAGAGGGTAATAAGAGAAAACAGGACACGTTAGTTAAAGAGATGGGAAGTTACAAAATACCTTGAATGAGGCAAGAAAGATGCTTTGTCAAGCTCCGGAACAACAAGGGTGAGGTTCAACAGCCTAGCAATAGTAACCATGTCACAAAACTTGAAAGAACAAGTATCAGGATGTTGGAAAATCTGAAATTATGACAAAAGATCGAAAAGAGTGATCAAGGCAAGTGACGAACCACGATTCGCAGTTGATTTACTCCGCCATTACGGGATACAAGTAGTTATCAATTGCTTTTCTTGTTATGTTCTGTAAGGAAAAATAACAAGGAACTGACTTGCGGGAACAAGAGGAGGCGCCGGCTAACCACTCTGGCTCGAATTGACAGGAAAGTCTAAAAATCCGAAACCCTAATTTCAATGTCTAGAATGCCACTATTTGGAGAAACAATATTCTAGAATGCCCGTCCTTACGTACTTTATTCTACTTTATTTTGAGATTGAAGACGTCAACTTTTTTTAAGGATTCTTCTGGTGGTCTAAAAAATAACCTTTTCTATTAATAACAACTCTAAAAAAAATGTGTTGGGCTTATGACCCAATAACAAATATAGGAAGGCCCAAATGTCGAAGGTTGTTGCTTTGGGCGGCTATATAACTCTATATAAGAGGAAGCTACGGGTTTGTTTTAGAGCATAAACATTCACTTTTGAGTTCAGGAACTAATTTGTCTTGTTGTCAGGTTTTTCTCTCTTTCTCTCCTCCCAGTGTTATTTAATTTTATTCATTATATTATGTAGATTTCTTACTCTGGATTTGATGATAATATCTCATTCTCTATGGCATATTCTCGTCCGATCTACATATTGGCCATTGTTATGTTTTTCTTTCCGTAAACGTTGTTATAGATATAACTAGTGATTTTTCTTTCTCTTTTCGTAAGAGTTGTTATAGATAATTAGATATATATCTAGTGATTTTTCTTTTCTTTTATATATTTATTTATTTATAATAAGGTGACTTGATTTTGTTAATTTGTCGTTTGGAATTAGTAGTGTATATCTTTATCGTTTGCATAGTATGATCGTCAGGTTTAGGGATTGATTATGTTTATGGTTTTTGTAAGATTTATAACAGTTGGAAGGGGATCATGGCGGGTGCATTAGCAAGAAATTTGAAGTGGTTTTATTCAACTCGCATGGGTGTTTTGAATCTTATCTCGATAGTGGGATCACCCTTCTTGGCTTACATTCTCTTACAACAGCGAAAGGAATCTGCTTGGCTCGATGAGCAAGAGAAAATTGTGCAGGAGCGGTTTGATGCACTAAAGGCTAGAGGAATTATTATAGTCAGAGAGAAGTAGATAAACTATTTATTGTTTTTAGCATGAGAGATGCTTTTTTTTTTTTTGGACAAATTTAACATGAGAGATGCTTTATGTCCATTAATTTATATTAACAGCTTATTCATTAAAATTCGTAGAGTACAAATCGTGCTTAACATTAACAGAAACCATCAACACCCACATACAGAGCACTCTGTTCCGTTGACCTTTAAGCGCAAACACACCACCATTTTTTTTTTTTGGCTTTCTTGTTCTTTTTATTCAGCAAAATGCCACAGAGGAGAGAGTAGGTACACAACGGCCTATATATATATATACTCTTACATAAGCATGCCTCGGTTTAGAGTGCAGTTTCTGCAGACTGTTCAGGCTTCTCTACTTGCTTCTTAAGGAACTCCAGCACAGAGAGGCGCTGCGTGCATGTTAAATTTTACATTGTCAGATGAAATTTTACTGAATCTCAGATTTACTTAGCTTTAACAAAATATCGGAAACAGGATGTTGTGCAAGAATCTTACTCGTTGCTCCAGAGCAGAATCTCCAGAGTCGAGTTTTAAAGATTCCAGCAGTTTCATGCCTTCTTCGAAACCATCTGTGGCTGCATCTTCATTTTGTAGACTCCTGTCTATATCCGCAACTTTGGCTAAGGAAACCGCCACATCCAGAATCTACAAAATAATTGTAGAAATAACCACCAAACGCAGTTATTATTTCCGGACAGACTTTGCTTGCTATGTTTCAGTTCCAACTTCTCAAGGCAAGAAACCAATGAACAAATACGAAAACCAAAGAGAAGATTTTCAAGAATTAAATGACATCTGATCCAAGTATATTGCCACCCCCAACAAGCCACCTAAACCTCAGAGCAACCTAGGCAACAAACTAGCAGTTGACTTGAATAAACCTAGGAAATAATTTAGAGCAGTCTCGGAAGATTCATGGTGAAGTAACAAATGAGCAAAATGGCAAGAGTGGACAAAAAGCACAAGCTTGAACACACTGAGAACAAGTATTCTCTATTCAGTCAACATCCTGTTTCAGATCCTCGACCCACTAGCAGTTATGTTAACCTCTACATCTTTTAATGCAACTGAATTCATTTAGCCCAGACTCAAATGACATCAAGAAGTAACTATAACATCAAGTAACGGTTTGTGAGAGCTTACAGTCTACAAAAAAGCCTTCACGGATTCTACAATAGCTTAAGTAACACCAGATTTCCCGTTGGGACAAAAAAGAACTGAAAATACTCAAATAGCATGAAGGAATACTTACTTGTGAAGGAGAATTTGGGTGATGCTTCACTGCATCACGTCTAACTTTTAGAGCACGATCATAAAACGACCTTGCTGCTTCTAGTTCTTCGTCATAATATTTAAGATCTCCAATTTTATTGAGTGAGACAGAAAGTGTATGTGTAATCTGCAAGTTTAGACAACAACATTGTTACAAATGGTAAGAGTTTGCAAAATCATAATATAACAAGAACTAATGTGCTAAAACCTCCAAATCATTCATCGGCAGTTTCATCAGGAATTCAATACTCTCTTCGAAATGCTTGACTGCAGAGCTTGAGTCTCCCAATGCACGGCTGCATCAACAATAAAATAGTAAGTTAACCATCAATTTAAGTCCCCAAAGAGAAAGATTCAACACACAAAACACAACATCAAACATTTTGGCCAACATAATGTTGTTCAGTGGCCACACACTTCAGAAACTCCAAAAGTTAGAACATCACAGATGAAAAACAAAGTGTCTATAATCACTGAGATGAACATAGGTGGCCTCATAAAAGAGCATATTAGGACCAGATTCAAAGGCATCCTTGGTTTCAGAATCTTACTTGTTCATAAAAATTTGAGAATGGACTAATGTTGGAAATAAACACCTTAGGATAAAGCATACCTGCAGTCACCGAGCATGCCAAGGACTGCACCAAGCTGTGAACACAACTCTGGAGTATTTCCCTCCCTCCCTAGTTGATCCCTAATGTCCTCGGTACACATTGCCAACCTTGATTTAGCACTTTCATAATTCTGAGCACTAAATGCCTGCGCATACAGGTTGTATAAGAACAAAATCATCATAACAAACGTAGAGTGGTGAAAAGAGAATAACCCCACCAGTTTAGATCAACAAAATTTAGAGATAGAACTCACCCTCATAGCTTGTTGCACCAAGAAAGAACCTCTTTCCATGGAAACATCAGCGTAAATAACTTTTTTGTTATCATTTTCAACCTCTTCTTTTTCTGTGCCATTGACAACAGTTCTCTTGATTCTAGCATGACCTTCAATAAATTGATCAACCATCTTTTGAAGGTTTTCATCAGCTTCAATACTTTCGATGTCAGCACCGCACAGAGGGCAGTCCTTAAACCGTGCTAAGCACACTCTGCATTTAAGAAACAAAAAAGTTTTAATAATAGTAGACCCAATCACCATCCATCATGAGCCAAAAAGGGTCAACGATATACACTAAGCAGCTGAGCAACTAAAACATACTAATATAATACAAAGCGAAAGCTAAGGCTTACTTGCAAAACACATGTGTACAAGGCACACATCTACTGCTTTCATACAGAAGTGCTTGACATAGCATACAGCTAAAAGGCCCAAGCTTGAATGTTTGGGAGTCATAACCAAACGGGCACTTGGCAGGCACAGTGGCAGAATCGGTAGAGTCCTTATTTAGTTTTCCTTCGTCTTCAGGGCATCCTTTATTCGAAATTTCCCCTTGATTTCGAGCAGAGGCATCGTCGGGACGAGCACTTTTAGAAAAAGGGCAACCAGAAGCCGCCGTTTCGCCTTGTTTTCGAGCAGAAGCATCGTCAGGACGTGCAGCTTTAGAAAAAGGGCAACCAGAAGCATTCATTTCGCCTTGTTTTCGAATGGAAACATCGTCCGGACGAGCAGCTTTGGAGAACGGGCAAACAGAAGTCGTCATTCGTGTGAAGAAGGTAAACAACAACCCTGCACCTCAAACACAATTTCAAACGCAAAATCACTAAAATGGCTTCCCCACTATTGATTCATCAGCTAAGCACAGCTTCTCCCAATACTAAATCCCTAAAAACAGCTGAAATCTATCATAGACGAAGCTAATTGAATGACAACATTCTCATCGGAAAGTGAAATTTTAGAGAGAAATAAAGCAGAGCGTTTCAGAAGTAACTCAACAGAGGGATAAAGAGATGGATGAAGCTAACCTCGATCGGATTGAGATTAGATTTGGAGATTGTCTCTCTCGCAGCTTCTCTGCAATCAATGATTGATTGATAAGCTTCTCCTTGTTTTTGTTGTTTCGATAAGTTTTTGTGGTTCGATGGTGTTTTCTGGTTTTGTTTTCTCAGTTAAAAGATAGATATTATTTGAGGATCTGTATTCTTCTTTGTGGATTGAATTGGGCCTTCGGTTTCTTTTACAGCCTAAATAAGAATTTGGGTTAAAAGCCATTTTAAGAAAATTGTTGTTTAGGATTTATGATAATGATTAAATAAACTTTTTATTTTGGTCACACGATAATATTTGATTACCCAGCTCATATAACTCGGGTATTAATCCAAATACATTTTTATCTTCTTGTCAAATGGAAAGTATTGTGAGAAGCACTACACATGAACTACTAGAAAAAAAGGTTCAAAACTAACTCTTAATTCGTTCAATCCCAATCAAATCATAAATTTTGAACTTGTCCTTGGGACTACAAAAGGTTGACTGCTTTGCGGGTAACACACTGAACCCATCAGAATCATTACATGTCTCAAGACCACACTCATGGCATAAAGATTCAACTTCCAACTCCTGAAATATACAAAGTTGACTTGTGGCATTTCAAGATTACCAACAATTTGAACAAGAAAAGACAGGATGATAATCTATTACCTTCATCAACAGGTTCTGAGATAACCGCAAGAGAGGATAGGGTTGAAGCTTGTAGCAAACATTGTTTATGCATTGGACAGCAAATGAGCGCATCTTTTACCATGAAACATTCAGCAAATGATCAACAGAATTTTCAACAATATACTGCAAATATCCTACCATGTATATGCACGTTATACCCACCCATATACGAATCCATATAACTATGTGTTTCCTCACCATACCACCACTGATATTTTCTAGTCACAAAATTTATTGTAGATCATCTTTCTCACGCTTATGGACATTTCATATTTACATAAACAGCTACAAATTAAAGTGCTAAAAAGACATCCCTGAGAGCAAGTAAGACAAAACTCCAAAATTATACTGATGCAAGCTCACCTCTCTGATATGTGGCTCACTTATGCAATACTGCAAGTATGTCGCCTCAGAAGCAGTTGCGCTTAAGAAGTTCTTGTAATTGCCCATCCGATATAATCTGGAAGAAAAAATAAAGAGAAACGACAAGTATCATCATACTTCAATTCATATTTCCTTAATTTTGTTCAAATTAAATAACTCACACGCGAATGATTGAACAGCATAACACTACCTTAAAATGTTTCGTACAAAACATATTTCCTTGGATTTTACTAAAGCAGAAGTCAACTTGCGAAACCATAAAGACAGTGGTTCCCCCTACAGATCAAAATCTTAATATTTTATACTGTATTAATGGCAATCAAAAGGTGATAGCGTAACATATCAATACGGACAAAGAAAATAGAGAACCAACCATCACTCCGCTACTGGGATTGAGATGAAGCAGCACATAGAGTGAACGGAACTCGGCTTCATTTTCGTAAATGGAATTCGGTTTCCTATCTGCATCATATATATTATACAAAGAGGCAAGAGTTTTTGTTAGCTGCTCCATGTTCAAGTGATGCATTGGGCTAATACTTGTACCGCTACAACTCTGAAGCCTCTTGTGAGATATGACATGAAATTTAACCTGTTAGAAAAGCCATTTATGAGTCAATAATAATAAACGCTTCAAAAAATAAAACAAACCATGATTACCCATAAAAAGAGGATGATCAATCAGAGTGGTATAAGTCTATGAATTTTACAGAACAAAAATTGATGATCCTATTTGAGCGTCCTGAACAAGGTTATGACTACAAAAACTCCAATCAACACATTAGGTCTAAGTATCTTATACTTGTACTTATATTCTTTTGATAATAGCAGAGGAAATAAACACACAAACGATATTCAAAAAATCCAAGGAAAGCAATTTTAACGACAAAAGATAGACATGTTCAGTGTAATCCATATACCAAACTAGGAAAGAGAAAAAGAGTAAGAAACAAGTCAAACCATACCATTTCCTCGTAAAGGTAGATCACTCTCTCATTGGCTAAATTCTGGATGCTAAGATCTTGTCTAATAGACCTTGTCCTATCGAAAATAAAATCATGAACCATTTCAAACGGGTGTTCCCCGGAGTCTAGCAAACTTAGAAGGTATTTCAGGGTTTCTTCTAAAACTGGGAGAGGTCGTACATCTGATGCTTGGACATCCGCTGCTGAAAGGGTTCTGCAAAACTAGCACGAACACAGAGAGAGAGAGAGAGAGAGTATAACTGCCTTTGGTATTGGACAAAAATAATCTATCCCAGTAAGTAATACAAATTATTCATTCAGAAATTTATCTATAGAAATCAAGTAATGGATTCTAATTTGCATAGATGAAGAATTTTAACATCAAATATCTGAGCTGATACAACATGTCAAATATAGAAAGCTAAAGCCAAAAGTGAAAGTATCCCAAATAAGGACCACAGACATGAAACTTCAAAGCTGTGAGATGTGAAGCGCACCTTTTTAACAGCTAGATCTGTAGATGATTTTGAGGGGTTTCCATAAAGCCTCTCAAACACTCCAAGATCACGCAGGCGTTCTCTTGTGACTCTCTCCCTCTCTGTTTATTACCAGAAATAACACATTAGATTAAGCTGCACACACTCTTTTTGCTGCTCGAAGTGTAACTTTGGCCTAAAACTCCTAGCAAAAAACAACATTCATCGTCCATGAATACAATACAACTCTTTGTTCCCAACCCAGAACTCTTAAACACTTCTCTGAACTTCCTAAGCACTGAAGGATCACGAATTGATAAATGGAATGTACTAAATCGACTTAAGCAATAGATCAAATCTAATTCAGGTGCGGGATTGGGTTGGATTTTTAGCAAAATCTCAGGTCAATCAGAAATTTACATAGCTCGACGATTACCTGGACACATGGAAGAGCAGGTTCCGACGATGAAGGAGACGTCAGCAGGATCTTCACCTTTGTTTTCGGATTCGTCTTTATCATTGTTTCGTTTGACTGGTACATCGGATCTTCTCCGAAAGGAATCACTAGCTCCGCCGCCGGATCCAGTCCTTGGGTTATCAGAGAACTGACGATTCTCATAAGTATTTGAACCCCTGGAAGAAGAAGAAGAAGAGCCACGATTACGACGATTCATGGCTTAGAGGCAACGCGAGAGCTTCCCTCCCAACAAGACTCCGATAGAAAACGAGCCAAATCGAAGTGATTACCGAACTATTCACCGGAACAAGACCAAACCCGGTTCTATACTTTCAAGTTTCAATCAATCAATCAAAACCGGGTCAATTCAATTTGAATATGACTATACCGGTTCTGACTTGTAGACAAATTTGCATATCTACAATTGTAGCCTTCGACTCAAGTAAGAATCTTTAGATCACATATCCTCACGCTATGTAATTTACATAGTAGGTTTGCGGTATTATCGATTTTGCTTTCGTAATCAGATTTTATTTGATTCGGTTTTGGTGCAACTACGATTTGGCTCAGTTGTGTTCTTCTATGAACAACATTTTAACTAGATTTCGATTTGAACATTTCAGTTTTGGGTTGTTTGATTTTATTCTCACGTACCCCTAATTATACAAGGCAAAGCTTAGGCTGGTTAGTGGGTCTAGTAGTCACGGCCACTATCTAGACAGCAAAGAACAATTTGTCCACCACTACGGATTTAGGTGTCTACTCCTCAACTATCCACAACAATAATTATAAGTGATGCTAATTTGAGGTAACTGCTAACATTCAAAACACAGAGACTAGAACCACTAATCCTAGTGCAATTTTCCATCATGCCTACCACAAACACAGAGTATGCAACTATACTCTCAATCATTATTCACAATTACACGCTTATATTAAAAATGTAAAAAGAAAAAGCTGGTTCGTCTCCACTAACACATCTAGACAGTATCTCGCATTCTTTCTTAGCTGCTAAGACTTTTTTCTCTTTCACTCGAATCTCTAACAAGACCAAACTGTTCGAACCTCACTATGTGTACCAAGCATTCTCTGCAATTAGTCAAAACACTTACAACATATTAATTTGAGACAGTATTGGCATCTCTATGACTAAAGATCGATGATATTAATATGACAATACCATACATTTGCTGGTGGAACTGTGTAACTTGCCATCTATCCCAGGAAACAATTTATTGGTCTCTCTCTTAGGAATTTTGACAAAACACTTGGTATGTACACACAACATTTTGAGTCATTGTAATAAAAATAGAAAAAAAAAAACTCAGTTCCTTCCTATCCTTAGTGAAGAATCAACAGCTTTGTTGTGTCCAGAAGAAGCTGCAACAGCAAAGAGTCTCGCAATCTCTAGCTGAGTATTCGCCATTATCTCCGTTCGTTTCAAATCTATCTCTCCTCTCTTAGCCTCAGCCTCAGCTCTCATCCTCTCTATCTCTTTCATCGTCTCCATTCTGGCTCTCTCTGATCTCATCACCACCTCGGCTAACCACCGTATACTTCCGGCGATCTCTTCTTTCTCTTCTTTATATCTTCTCTTCACTTTCTTCCCTCTCACCTTCGTCTTAACCACCGGCGTGCTGCTGTCTGTATCCATCTCCGTCGCTTTTTCCGGTTTCTCCTCCGGCCTGAATCCATCTTCCTGTACAACAAATGTCATTAGAAATCTCCCAAACTTAGCTAACTCTTGTCAACTGGTTTAGCAGATCAGACCTTGGGAATCTTGCCGACGCCGTTGGATCCGTACGAAACCTGTGGCGGATGAGCCACCGCAGGAGACGGCGGCTCGAGTAAGAGCAAAGGAACAGAGCAATTCAGAGGCAGAACAGCCTGAGGCTGAGGTTGAGTTCCACGGAGGAGATGATCGAGACGAGGGTAAAGAGGCCAAGAGGAGCCATCAGCAGTAGCGGACTCAGAACGGTAACGTTTCTTCATGGACTCGATCTTGTTCTTGCACTGTGTCTGAGTCTTTGGTGACTTGGTGTGAGTGGCGCGTGACGACACGTGTCTAGCTACGTCTTCCCAGTCTTGACCCTTGAGCTTGGCTCTGTTTCTGAGAACCCATTTAGACTCGTAGGCTTCGAGTAAACTTGAAACAGCTCCTTCGCTCCATTCATCTCGCTTAAGCCTATCTACAACGACAGAGGAAGCAGACGGTTTCTTGGGGGATTCATCGTGGTTGAGAAGTGATTTGGGAGTTTCTTGGTTAGATTCTCCGTTCTCCATGTATAATGTTTCCCTTCAGGTGAGTAAAAACAGAGACAAGAGTGTGATAAATGAAAGAGAATTTTTCTAGCAATATATTTTTTGATAAAGATGGGAAACAAAAGTGAGTGATAATGAGACTGTGTAAGAAGAATTCGCTGCTGGTTCTCAAAACTAACCAATAAGTTTGGGTACACGCGTTTCTCGCATGTTCAATGGTTGTAAAATTTACGTTTTGTCACTTATATTACTCTGATTTTAATGTTTTTTTCCAATGTATGGGTCGTGTAAGAATACAAATACACTACAGTCTTGTTGATCTAATGGGAATATATGACAAAGTTATCAAACAGAAACGCATATTTACACCGGCTTTTTACTTACCCTTCGCAAAAGTTAGTGGAGCAAACTCGTCACAATAATAATGAGGAGAATAAAAAGACGGATGTGAGAGAGAGAGAGTGGGTAAAGGTAACCATTGAAAAATAGGTTTTAATAATTTCTTTTCTTTTTCTCAACTTGAAAAAAAAAATTAAAAAAGGTTTTACTTTTGGTTTTATTTTTGAAAAGGGTTTACAATAATGATTCCAAAATCTTTCTGATTCAAATGCTTTTATTCATTTTAGCTATAAACCTTTTTGGTATGCTTTTTTTTTTCTCTCTCTCTCTTTTTGGGTGTATGGTGGAGTGAGTCTGGCTGTTAGCGTTGATGCCAAGCCAAAACCGCAAAACCCATTAGGCAAAGATGGTAAGTGACCTAATGGAAGTGGGTTACACTTGTCACTCTTTCACCCATACTAGTTTCCACTCTTTTTCTTCTCACGTTTGCTTAAAGAATCCTATATGCGATTTATCTTTTTGTTCTTAACCATCAATAAAGTGTCTATATTTATCTTGCAGAAATTTATGAAATTTCCGAGTTACTGTTCTAACAAATAAAAAAATCTTAGTCAATATAGCACATGTCACACATCTTTGATTATTTACAAACTACCTCCTCTAGCAATTTATCAAGACATCCAAATATTTTTACATATAAAGTTCCAATTTTAGGCGAAGCCCTTATCTTTCACACTTCTTTGTTTTCTATTAAAGGAATGATGAACCCTGCAGCTTCAAAACACCACATTGGACATTTCGGGTCTACATGGATATCAACTTAGAATTCTAACTTGCCACTTATACTCGCAGTCTCGTTTTGGGTGATGAAATGCCTTGCAAGCAAAGGCATACTCCTTTTAAAAAATAACATTGAAAATATTTCAATTAATTAATAAAGTAGTGTATTCGTTAAATTTATATAATTTATAGTATCTTTTAATAATTAATATAGTTATTCTGATAAATAGCTAAATTTATAAAATAAAATAAAAACTCAATAGGTATAATAATTAAGTGATGAGTTTAATATTTTTTAGAGCTTTTGCCCCAAAAAAAATATATTTTAAATTAAAGAGCCCAAACGTGATTTCTTATCCAACCCATTGCTTATGTCGGCAATATCTAAAGTGATACATATATAGGTGAGTTAGGGTTAGCGGATCCGATAATCTTTTCAGACAAGACAATGGTAAGCGAGGGAGAGGTTAGATGTCGTATTTCAGACGAAGATATCATAGAGGGTTATCTCCGGCGAAAGGTAAACGGAGAAGCAACTGCAAACCCGAGATTTATCGTAGACAACATGGAGGAGGAGTTGTACACACGAGAGCCGTGGCTGCTTCCGCAACCAACAGATCCTATCCTAAACCCTCGCGAGTGGTTTTACTTGGGGAAACGGAATTGGAAATACCTTCACGCGGAAGGAGTTCATTGTGAGGGAGCGTGGATACTCATTCAAGGTAGAACCCCGATCCTCTCTAAGGAGTCCGGTGAAGTAATTGGGGCAACGATGAGATTCAGATATTGCTTCAGAAACAAGAACGATACAACCGCTATGGCCCATACCAGTTGGTTCATGCGAGAGTATCGTCTCTGTGACAAAACCAAACCCTACAACACCCGCCATGTTCTCTGCAAGATTACTTGTAACCTATGACTTGTAGTACGATCATTCTGATTTGGTTTCCGCAATAAGACTCAAAGCTTCATCACCGATACTGGAGTAGGTCTAGAATAAGAGAGTAGTTTGTTGATTCTTGTCTTTAGGTTTTGGCTTCGAAAGCATAATTACAACTCTGCAAAAATTGGATTGATTTTGGGGATCTTGACGAGCCTAGCTACGTCGTTTTGCTATAATATGCTTTTAACGCTTGCGTAAATAGAATGTTACTTTTTCAATTATTTTTTTAATTAAGTTCTTATTAATTAAGTTCATATTTGGATAGTCGATTACACACATTTGGAAAGCTCCAGAGAATTGACATAAATTATGATCAATATTTTCATTGCACACACACAATACAACAAATATTTTTTTTTAACAAAAAAAAAAAAACCTTGCGCGTACACAAGAGACACTCATAAGACAAAACAGGAGTCTCTGCAAACACATCAAAACATTATCTCTGAATATAGGCAGCGACAAAAACCACGCTCATTTGGCCATCCGTCATCTCTCATTCTCTCACCCTCTTTTCTGTTTCTTTCACCCTCTTTTCTGGTTTTGTTCTAAGTGAAAACAAGGAGTAACGCAGACTAGATTGCTACTTTGGATCACGTAGATGCATTTTAGTATTTTACAACAACAACAAACATACATACATACTTACAGTAGTTATTCTTCTACTGCGTTCACTTAGACTTCTAGATATAAACCACTACCACCCGATTTGATTTACTTCAGACACCTAGACTACTTTTACAAGCAAGAGCTTCTCTTACTTAAACATCCAACAACTCTAACAACTAACTTACTCTAACTTAGACTTAATTAACACAAACTCTCTTCTTTTGGGTCTTAACTAAACTAATAGCCTAATCCTACCATTATTACAAAACACACAAAGCCCAATCATTGTTCTGAGGTCTTCACCGGAGCTGCCATCAGGATAAGAACACGGTATATTGCAAGATAGTAGACGCGATAGCGAGACTGAGATCTTGATTGCTTCTCTGGACACAACCGGGGTTTAATACCTAATCTCGGTTTGTTTCTCGGAAACAGAAGAAAATGGACTGAACTGAGTTCAACTGACATCTGCGTCAGTGAGGCAGTGATCAGTTTTGGTGGTTCTGTTCCGCGTTGCTTCCATGCTAGTAAAGCTCACTTCTATCTTCTCTGTTCTGCGTTGCTTCCATGCTGGTAAAGCTCACTTCTATCTTCTCTGTTCTGCGTTGCTTCCATGCTGGTAAAGCTCACTTCTATCTTCTCTGTTCTGCGTTGCTTCCATGCTGGTAAGGCTCACTTCTATGTTCTCTGTTCTGCGTTGCTTCCATGCTAGTAAGGCTCAAACTTCTATCTTCTTTGTTGCTAGAAAAGCTCTTTTTTGCGTTGATTCAGTGCTAGAAAGGCTCTGAATCCTATATTCGATTTATCTTTTTCTAATCAATTAAGTGTGTATATATATCTTGCAGAGAAATTGTGAAATTTCCGAGTCATTGTAGCACATGTCACATATCTTTTTACTTACAACTACCTCCTCTAGCAATTTAGCATATGGTTAGAAGAAAAGTCTATAGAAGACTGGTTCGTTTTGGCGTCAGAGCTGCTCGATTTCAGTGGTATAAAGATTCAATTTTCTAAATATGAGTTAGTTCATGCAAACCGGAATCGTAATGCTTAAGCGGATTTACCAACTCTCGAAAATTGTTTTTTGAAATATGTTACTTCTCGTGCCTTAAGCAATTTTATGTGCCATATATAATAGCTAGTTTTTTTTTGGGTAGGAATATATAATAGCTAGTTAATAATTAAGACATGATAAAGTTCATTTAAATAATTTCATTTAGTTAATAAAGTTGTAGTACATTTTTAAAATTTAAGTTTATAATTTATAATATCGAAATAATTAAAAGAGAGATTTTGATAAATACCTAAATTTATAAAATAAAATAAAAAGTTATTATGTATGAAATTAGTTTATTTTTTAAAAAATAGCCCAAACGTGCTTCCTTGTCCAACCCATTGCAGTAAATGTCGGCAATATCTAAAGTGATATATATAAGTGAGTTAGGGTTAGCGGATCTTAAAATCTTTTTCAGACAATGGTAGGCCAGGGCGAGGTTAGATGTCGTATTACAGACGAAGATATCATAGAGGGTTATCTCCGGCCAAAGGTAAACGGGGAAGCAACTGCAAACCCTAGATTTATCGTAGACAACATGGGGGAGGAGTTGTACACACGAGAGCCATGGCTGCTTCCGCAACCAACAGATCCTATCCTAAACCCTCGCGAGTGGTTCTGCTTGGGGAAACGGAATAGTAAATATCGCCAGGCGGAAGGAGTTGATTGTGAGGGAGCGTGGATACTCATTCAGGGTAGAACCCCTATCCTGTCTGAAGAGTCAGGTGAAGTAATTGGGGCAACAATGAGATTCAGATATTGCTTCAGGAAGAAGAACGATAAAGCCGCTATGGCCTTTAGCAATTGGTTCATGCGGCAGTATTGTCTCTGTGACAAAAGTAAACCCTACAACACCCCTCATGTCCTCTGCAAGATTACTTGCAACATATGACTTGTAGTATTTATTTGATTGTCTTCTTGAAATCTATAGATAAAAGGGTCCTCTGTTTTCGTACTGCATCCACAAATTCATGACAATCCTTTTTGGAAAACAGGGAACATCGAAAGAAAATCTTACGAAAGATTTCACAATCATATATATATATGAGAATCAACAAAAATCAATAACTTATATAGTCTCCAAAATTCAAAAGTTCATAACGCATTACAAAATCGACCGAAATAGAAATAGAATCCGATAAAACTTAGGTGCAAGTTTCACGGGAAATTCCGAGCCTGGAATTTGGAACATCGATGAGAACACGGTGGTTCTGCTGCTGCATACTTGCGATGACGTTAAGGACAGAGTTAACGTTGGCCGGAGCTGCAGCCATGGCGAGGCAGCTGAGGTTACCTGCGGAGCTGTGGATTAGAAGGTTGTCCGTAGGCAGAGTCACGTTCATTCCGGCGAACATAAACGTCACTGACGGGTATACTACGGAGCCTGTGTAGCAAGTGTCGAAACCTCCCAGTGAAGTTGCGTTTGCGTTCTTAACACGTCGCCTGAACTCGTTTCTCACTGCCAAGTAAGCTGGTTCGACTAACCTCGTGTAGACCGTCCCTGCGTAATGTGTACATGCAAAGTGTTAAATTTCAAATAACCTGAAGAAGATTTT